GTCAGCTAAGTCTGTTTTGACGGACAAACACACATTTACAGGTTAATTTTACCTTAAGCTGACCAATAAAACCCCCAAAATAAAATAAAGAGAAGTGATTATAATCAGGGAAATGTGTGTTACTATTCTGTTGTTAAAGATAGGGTGGTTAATGTATTTAAGAAACATTTTGTTGTATTTGTCTCATGTCTCTTAACATTTTGACGGCAATCAATAAATCAAATGCTCTGACAAAAATAAGAACAGAAATCAGGTATCTGTGTCTGTCACAAGCCAGTAATAATCCCGTCCAATCATTTCATTCAGCCCAAAATCCAATGTTTGGATGAGCTAACTGCGTGCACGCTGCGCGTGTACTCCGACTCTGCCACAAGCTGCTAGCTTAGCAGCTGTGAGTTCCAGCTATAGCCATGGACATTGTTTACATTCATAATCATCATTTTGAGGGAATGGCTGTCAGTGTTGACCACTTGCTGTTAGCTACTTTCATTGGAAAAGAGTTGGACACACAGGGCGGGGTTTACTGTTTGGATCATTTTTTAAATCTAGCGTACTCTTGCTGATTCCTCCGATGCTACCTGCTCAAGCTTAAGGCCAGGAACATCACACCTGTACCACAGGGTGGATACAAGAAGACAGACTCAGTTAGTCTTGTCTACTCACTCTTCGGTTAGCAACTCTTCAGTAACTCTGAGTTAACTCTTCCTGTTCACCTTCCTGTTGTGCCATCAGGAAAGCGATACAGAAGTATCAGCTAACCACAGACCTCAACACAGCTTCTTTCCTCTGGCTGTGAGGCTCTTAATTCATCCTCCACCCTCCATATACAATAGCGTATTGTTTGTTTTCTTTACTATATTGCTAATTTGGACTACAAAGTAATTGTTGTTGTGCAACCCTGTTGTTGAAGACAAATAAAAAGCTTGAAAGCTTGTATGTTGTATTGTATTAATAGGGAACATTTTGTTCAAATTGAAACCTATTTCTCCTTGTAAACGAGCGTTACTTTCAAAAGGACAAATGCCATCACAATATGTAGAGGCCAACTGGGCCTAACTTTGGACCCCAGGAGCTGGTTAAATTCCAAGCTGTTCTATGGTGCAGTGACATGTTCACATGGGGGTCCAATGCCTTTGTTCAAGTGTGTTAAATGGGTTAAAGAGTAGTGTCCAGAGGCAGCAGTGTGTGTCCTGCTCAGTGTGCCGGGATAAAGACCTCCGTATGATACTGGTCAGTCAGGTCCAGCACCCAGCCAGCAGGGCCGACCACCTGCCAATCAAACAGAGCTCACACAACAATAAGTGGGAGTCAGCCTGAGCCTGCAAACACACACACACGCACGCACACACATAATCCACTTTCCTCCTATACCTCCACACAACACCCGACCTTCACTGTTCTCATTTTCTTTATTTTTATTTTTTTTATTAGTTTTAAACACCACAGTAACAGTAGGTCTGTATCTCAATGATCTAATACTATATCCTATCATGGTGACACTTTATAATAACTACACACTATGAAGCATTAGTTAAGCGTGAGTAAACACTTAATTCATCATTTATAAAGCATTGTTCCTACATTAACACTCAGTATACAATTCATAAGTTATAAATGTTTTATTCTTGATTAATAAGCTCGTCTATTATGTGTTTCATGATTGTGTTTTCATACTTTATAAATGATGGACTCACCATTTGTAAATTAAGTATTAAAGATATTACAAACCAATTATTAAGGAGCTGTAGAGGATTAATAACATAATTTATAAAGTGTAAGTAAATGATTAGGAACATATTTAGATGTACATTATTCATCCATTTATATATATAATGATTTATGATTAGGGACTATGTTAATATATGCTTTATAAACGCATATTAACACTGCAATTCATGATTAATTCAGGTAGATACTAGTCAGTACAGTGTTTTGTGTGACCTCATCTAAAGTGAGGACTGTCTATGCCTTATAAAGCATTTATTAATTACATTAATCAGTGCCTCAAAACCCACAAAAGTCTCAGTACATCTGCAGTAGCTTTAATATGCTTGTTTGTATATTATTATTTGTACAACTTGTTTTTATGAAGATTTTAGTTTGGTTTAATATGTGATACGTCCGAAACAAATAATAAGCGTAGCTGTGTTTCAGCTGCAGGACAGCAGTGAAGGCCCAGGTATAAACAGCACGGCCCGCCACTGCTAAATGGTGAATGGACTGTACTCGTATAGTTCTTTTCTAGTCTTTCCGACTCCTCAAAGCGTTTTAACACTACATGTCATCATTCACACATTGACACCAATTCATACACTGATGAGGGGCTACCATGTAAGGTATCACCGGACAATCAGGACTAACTAACATTAGGCACCCACTCACACACTGCAGGAACAGCCTGAGTGAGAACTGTAGGGTTAAGTCCTTTGCCCAAGGACACATGGACATGGACTAGCGGAGCCGGGGATTGGAGCGCCAATCCTTTGATTGAAGGACGACCCGCTCAACCACTGAGTCACAGTAATGGAGTCAAACATGCAGAAATACAAATTTGTAAATATTATATAAAAAGAAGAAGAAACGTTTTGGTGTGGTGCCTCTAGGGTATTTATTTTGGAAAATACCACAGATAAGTCTTCTCGTAAATTCCCAGCATGCTTCTTGCATCTGCTCTATTCCAAAGACTTGCATTAATCTTTTGTCATAACACTTCAACGCTCGTCTGTGCCGGAATTGTGTTTATCTTTACAAACGCTCAGCCAAGTGATTCACGGACAGTCATTCACTCCGACTGCCCTCCCACAATGCAACTCCACTACAAATCAGAGCCACTCAATCATGCCATTCTTTTGATGCTGAATTCTAACCATTCGTAATTCTTCGAGAAGCTTTTGGCACATTTGATTAGGAGATTAGAAAAAGCAGAACATTTTTAGAATAAGAAAATAAGAAAAGCGGCTTTGCAGGGTGTTTACAGATTACAATTGTGTCCGCTGACAGAGGGCAGGGTGTGTGGTCGAGGTCTTCAAGTGCTACTTCACAGTCACACTCACATGTTTGGCAGGATTGGAGCTCTGATCTTCTTGGATCAGTGGACTGACAAAAAAGTCTTCTGTGGAGCCACATTTTTAAGCTGGTAAACTCTGTTTTGTGGACTACTAACCTGCATTAAGTTATCAGTCTGTATTATTTCATGTTAAAGGAATTAAAAAAGGCTAGCATGTTAGAACCAGCAGCTAATAACAGAGCTGTATATAGTATCAAACCACCACTTTTTCCAGAATCATCTGGTGAGTCACACCAGCCTTTCCATGACCCAGCAGCACTGGGTCCTGACCCACTGTGTGGTCTGACCAGTTGACCTCAATTTGCACTTCAAATTCACAGCAAAAAAGAGCCGTAGTCTCCACAGCCTTCACAGAAAGTCTGTTTACAAAGAAGGTGTCAACTTTCAAATCCCTTCAATCTGAAATCAGCGTCAGAAAAGACTGTAGAGTTAGTGGGGTAGAGTGAGGATGAGTAGAGAGTGGTCCAACTGATGTTAAGCCTCTGATCAGGAGGGTTTGGTGAGCACAAACACTAATTATTGTCCAGGTCTGTTAACATCTTCTTTCGTCCCTCAACAACAAAACTGTTATGCTTTGGGTGGAACAAGTCAGATCCTTTGGAAAAGTACCAACAAAGTAATGTAAAAATACTCCAGCAGTTAATGTCCTGCATTCAAAATCCTACGTAGTAAGTTTAAAGTACAGTATTATCATCAATATAAAGTATAAAAAGAAAATGAAATATTGCTTCTGTGACTGATATTATCATACAGGACAATATAAAAATGTTGACTCTGAAGCATCAATACATCAGCAGCATTTCAGTGTTGTAGCTGCTTGAGGTAGAGATCATGTGAACTACTTGATATACAATCTGGTCCAGTGTATCTTAACATAGGGTTGTTAAATCTGAGGGGTCGTGAGATTACTAATGAGAGAAGGAAGAAGAAAGACAAAGTTCTTCTACACAAATTGATATCATTTTTTGGGACTTTATTCTTATTACTTTTTGATAAAATATCGGATCATCTGACTTTTTTGGGTTAATTGATTATTTAAATTAAACAATGTGATGGGAGGTCAAATGGTTGAAGTGCGAACGACTCATAGAATAGTAATGCTACATCCACATTACTCCGTTTCTATTTGGAAGCAGAGTTGTCAAATAGAACCGATCTCCGTCCACACGGCCGTTTCAGCATCATTCTCGAATTGATCTGCATCCACACGGCAGCCTTCGAAGACGGACAGCACGTGACCATTAACGTACACTGGGCATGCGCGTGACGGTGTAAACAGGAAGTGGATTGGTTGCTGAGTTGAAAAAAAAATACGACAGAGTAATAAAGTAGTCTTCAATAATGAAAGGTCGTGTTTGATACTTAAGATCTTCTCTAAAATATTCCTCTATAAACTCAAACAGACACAGTTCGTGGAACGTTTTAGAAGTTTTATTTTTTATTTTTATCTCTCTCTCTCACATCAAATTCACTTTAAAATCAACACTTACACGTAACAGTTTACTAGATTATGGGTCCATAAATGTGGTCAACGCACGTCTCTCACTCGTTTCCTCGGTGTTGTTCTCACTCGTAGCTCTGCTGGTGGCTTAACTACCTGTCCTACTGAATAGCATTTACTGCTAACCGTGAGTTCAGACGTCCGCTCCGTAGGGCTGATGACGCTGCTGGTCACTGATCGCTCCATTAACAGCTGCTTCCTCCGTAATAATGCAGACTTTTACTGAACAACAGCTGCTAGTAAAGACAACAAGGTCAGCAATGGCTGTAATCAGTTGTCCATGTTGAATTAACCTGGTAGTCGATCGGTAATCAATGTTGTTGTTTGTGAGCTTCCGGGTCACGTGATAGGGATGTGACGAATCAGGGAAGGACACGACATGACTGCTAAGAACCAATCAAGTAGTGAACGTTTCTAAACGTATCCGTTTCCGACCGTCCACACGAAAACGCAACCCGGAGTTTTCAAACTTATCCGTCTTCGGGAGCGTTTTCAAACTCCTCTGTTTTCGGCGCTCGAAAACGCCGGCTCAGTGTAAACGTAGCAAAACATATGCGTTTAAAAATGAAACCAAAATGAAACCTGAAAGTCCTGCATTCACAATTAAAGTAAAAGTACTAAAGTATTCATTTCTGAATTTCACCGAGGGATCAATAAAGGTTGATTGTTTTCTCCATAATAATATATAAAAGTGATTTATTTGTTGATTATATTTTGTTCTATTGATCTGAATCTGATGGTCAGCAGAGTGAGTTTTTACAGAAGAGATTCTCCCTCCTACACAGAACACAGAGACACTGAGGAACCAGACCTGGACCAGAACCTGGACCCAAAGCCAGGATAAAGAGGTTCAGTGAATGTGGTTCTGAAGGTGTGGAGGAGGATCAGTGTGTCAGAGGAGACTCTGTAGAAGGACAGAGAGCCAGCAGGACAGTCCACATACACTGCTACTCTCGAGGAGGAGGAGGAGGAGGAGGAGGAGATGGGTGTTCTCGTCTTATTGTGAAGGAAAGAGTAACCATTATCATCAGAGCACTCCAGACTCCAGGACTGATCGTTCATTCCAAACTCGCAGTCTTCACCGTTTCCTCTCCTTCCGATTCCTCTGTAACTCACTGATATTTCAACTCCTCCTCTCCACTCGACCTCCCAGTAACAGTGACCAGTCAGACCAGTTTCACACAGCAGCTGAGGACAGGAGTCAAACCTGTCTGGATGATAAGGATATGACTGAAGCTCCTTAAACACACGTGTCACCTTCCTGTTGTTGACAGACAGTTTGAGGTTTCTGTTCACTGTGTTTGTGTCGATTGTGAGTTCACAGGCATCTGAAAGAGAGAAGGAGACATGAAACAGCATCAGTTCATCATCAAACACATCTGATGGGTTTATTTGAGACTTCATGAATCAAAGTGAACACTCACACTTCCTCAGACCAGGTTTCAGCCTCTGATCTCCAGCAGGTTTAACCCTGGAGGAAGAAACAGAGTCAGAATGAAGCTTCATCATAAATCAAACGTATCTTATAGAAACATAACGAACCTCAACACAAAATAAATGCAAATTCTATTTATTTACATTTTCTGTCCACCATTTCCCAAAGCAAACCATCATCTCTTTTTTCTTCTCTCTGACAGATTACAGCCACTCAACCTGAAGGAGAGTTAGTGATGAAGACAAACACAATACTGTTTATTCTTCTTCTTCAATGTAAAATACAACATTTCTGAGTTTATAAATTAAACAATGGAGGATTAGAGTCTTTTATTGTGTCTATGACTGGAACATAACAGTGATTAATGGATCCTAATCTCTAATAACTTTTAGTCTTAAATGAACAACAAAGTGAATTCCTTTTAATTTCAAAGCTGCATTAATCTGTGCAATGAAACTGAAGAAACAATTTGCATGTTTTTCAATTGATCAACTAATCAAATCTGTCAACAGAAGACTTTCATGAGCTGAGAACTACTCTGCTCATGTGATAAAGCTTTAAAGGCAGTTATCTGGGTACTTACAGAGCTTTGTTGGAGGCTTTGGCCGCTGGCACCAGCCTCAGGTTCTTCAGGTCCAACACGTCCAGATGTTTTCCTGATGACAATGAGATGAAGATCAGAGCTGAACACTGAGCAGGAGACAGTTCATCAGTGGAGAGACGTCCTGAACTCAAGGACTGTTGGATCTGCTCCACTAGAGAACCATCATTCAGTTCATTCAGACAGTGGAACAGATTGATGCTTTTCTCTGGAGACACATTCTCTCTTCACTAACAGGCCATGTACCACAGTCCTTCAGAGTAGCTGTAATCAAACCTCTTCTTAAGAAGCCCGCTCTCCATCCAGAGGTGTAGAACTATAGACCGATCTCTAACCTTTCCTTCCTCTCTAAGATCCTCTAAGATCTCTCTCTAAGAAAGCAGTCGTGAATCAGTTGTGTGACTTTCTACATAACAATAGTTTATTTGAGGATTTTCAGTCAGGATTTAGAGAGCATCATAGCGCAGAGACAGCTCTGGTGAAATAACTAATGACCTTCTGATTGATCAGACAAAGGACTTGTCTCTGTTCTGGTCTTGTTAGACCTTAAAGCTGTGTTCAACACCATTGATCATTACATCCTGTTACAGAGACTAGAACCTTTGATTGGCATTAAAGGAACCGTAGTAAACTGGTTTACGGTGGGCTAACTTTAGTAGCTAACCACTGAGCTTCCATGGTGCAGAGCTGTGCTTCTAATTCACTCAGCCAACACACTACACTTATAACATGTACCATTATACCTAAAGGAGGCAGAGGAATAGCTTAACATGTGACACACCGAGAGAGAGAGAGAGAGAGAGAGTGAAGCCATCGCTAACTGCTAAGCTAAAGTACGGTAGCTAACGTTAGCAGTACTGGACAACATGTAAAGTCTTGATTTAGCGAGAATTCACCAGAAGAGGTCACTGGCTGCTTGAAACCCACCAACACAAGCAACCTTCACCTCCTCGCTGGCATTGCCCCTGCTGATACTAGACGGGAAGTTGCCAGCCGAGTCGAGAAAACAAAATCTACTAGTGATGAACGCCATCTCCTCCATGGATGTCCCCCTCCGGCCCAACGGCTAAAATCAAGAAGAAGCTTTCTCAGCCATGTCCAGCTCCTCACAAAGTCTCAGGAGGAAACCAGAATCCAACTCTGGATGGAAAAGCTTGAGAATGACCATCCTCCAACTGTCGTGGGAAAACCCCCCACTGAAAACCTTCCCCCTGGCCCAGAAGCACCATGGGCTCAATGGAAAACACTAAACCGCCTCAGAACGATCAAAAGCTGCTCTGGTCAGATGGGGCTACAAGACTGGCCCAACCACCTGTGAATGTGGAGAAGCAGATCACACTATGGAGCACTGCCTTGTCTGCCCTTTACTACCCAACCCTGAGACTCAAAAGACTTTGCCGTGTTCAAATGCAAAGGACTGTGTAAAGAAATGGGAAACTGTCATAAAACCATCACGCTTCAGTGAAACGAAAAGAAGTCACCAGAAGAGGGAGAGAGATTTGAGTGCTTCAACAGAACTAATGAAAGTTTAAATGTAAAATGAATAATTAGCTTCTGTAATGAAGAATATGACACAATTAACTTGGTTAAGCTAAAGCAGCTAAAGTACGCTAACAGAAAAACAGATGCACTGTCAACCGGAAGTGAGAGAACACGCCTACCGCAGCACATCAGCATGCTCTAACCTAAAAATATAAACCCAAAATATCACCAACAAACCCACGAGTGCACCCAGTCAGTGCAACCAATGACAACCGTGGCAACAACCTCCCATTACACAAAAAGCCCCATCCACTCAAAACAATACACAACATTCATAAAACAACTCCTCGACGACAGGAAAGCCATCCTCAAGGAGAAAGGGACATGTTTCAGATGCTGTTCTTCAATCTCCCACCTCGCCAAAGACTGCAAGTCCTCTGTGAAGTGCTCTGAATGTGACAGCACCTTTCATGATGCAGCCATGCATCCTGGTCCATCAAGGCTCCTTCACCTTCACAAGAGAATGGCGGCGAGGGAGAAGATAATTTTAACGTGGCTGTTGTTAGAACAAGTTGCACAGAAGTTTCTGGTCCAGGTCAGTGGACCTGCTCATGCTCAAAGATCTGCCCCTCAGAAATATACCCCAAGGGTTTCAAGAGCTTGGCTGTCAAAGCCTTTGTAATTCTGGATGATGAGAGCTCATTAGCTGGACCAGAGCTCTTCACACTTTTCAGACTGGAGAGCAAACCATTCTCATTCTACCTCAAAACTTTCTTTGGCATCGTAGAAACATCTGGCAAGAAGACAGAAGGATTCCAGATCGAGTCACTGGACTACAGAGTTCTCACCTCTCTCTCACCACTAATTGAACACTAATTAAACACCAAGCACCAGCCTTCATCAGCCACATCTCCATCACATTGCCAGGCCCATCCCAGAACTGGACCCCAGAAGCTGAACTACTCCTGCTACTCAGAAGAGACGTCCTTCGAGCACAGATCGACCTGCGCTGGGTAGTAATAGGAGAGGTGTGCCTGAGTAATGTACATAAGCTGAGAGTCAACACGTTCAAGACCATCATGCTGGACAAAGATTGCTATTACGTTTTTCTAAACCCTGAACAAGCTTCATGTACGTCAAGGAGACACAGCAGTACTTTAACAGACAGGCAAGGGAACTAAGAGGATGCTGGGACAGACGGTATTCAATCTAACTGAGCGTGACAACAACCTGGCTCTGTCAGTGAAGACATCGTCTTCTTCGAGATAAAGGACCCAAACATCTACAGAGACCACCTTAACAGTTGGGTTGCCCCACTGTCATTTAAAGAACCACGCCAGTCTTTGCAGAACAACTAAGTGCAGGTAGTCCAATGCTTTGCATCTCTACGATGAGCCTTAAGTAAAACAGAAACGTGAGATGCAGGAACAGTATGTAGCATTCATGGAGAAGATCTTTGCCAACGGACGTGAGGAAGTAGCACCACCACTGAGATAAGATGAGGAGTGCTGATATCTCCCAACGTTTGAGTTCCAGCTCGCACAAAACCAAATCAGATCTTTGAATCAAGCTGCCATGACTTTGGTGTCTCCCTCAATGCCTCTTTACAGGTCCTGACCTCAACAAATCCCTCCTTGTTGTCTTTTTACAACTTGTTTCTGTTTTTAATGACACAAGTACAATAACATCAACAACGAAGTTGTTGAGTACCAGAGGAAGGTCGTTTTTTGGCAACGGGCCATCTCCTGCTGTGGCTATCAACGGGCTGCAAAGAGCCATCAGAGAAGGTGCTCAGGAGCATGAGGCCGATACTTTAGAGTTTGTGGAAAGGCTCTTTTATGTTGACCATGGCTCGGTATCCGTATTATCTGAAGCTGTGGCAATCGACCTGTTCCGATGAATGCAGGCATCACTCGCTCAGTCAAACCTCCACTTACAAAAGTTTGCTTCAAACTGTCATGGAGGCCCTCCCGCCTGAACATCTTGTTGGTCATTTTCTTTTAGGAAACTGAATTTAATGCTTCTTTGGAGTCATGATGTCTCTCACAGAGGGTATTTCTGAAAACATTTAGCACACTTTGTTCTCTCAGGGCTTCCATACAAACCAGAGAATACAGCAGCTTTACCTTTGCTCTGACAGGCGGATGTTCCTCTGTTCTCTAAAGTCTCTCCAACATCAGCATCCTCTGTGTGAGAGAAGTTACAGTATGCGTTATTTCATCACTTTGACTTATTACCTATTTCTTATCTTCAAGTTAACCCTGATTGGTAATTAGTTTTTATTCATTTTTCAGGTTTAAAACATGTTTCTGTTATGTACTGTAGGTTACATCATTGTGTCTGGGATAGACGATTAGTTGGAGTGTAATCGCTGTGGGACATTGTCAACACAGCTGTAGCTCCACAAACTATTCATCATTTCTAGCTACAATTATTCTTTCATTCAGTTATTACACATGATTCTAAAATGAAGTCCATCCAAACAACAGACCTTAGTCCTGCTCTGGGAGATCACAACCAACACATTCACCTACTCTGTGTCGACCGCGATCAAACATTCACCCGTCATGGAGTCTCAACTGTCTACAGTGTTTTCGACCCCCTGTTGGGGGGGGGGGGGGCAGCTCGGGAACAAAACCACTTCAACCAGTACATGTGTGTCAATGTGTACGTCAGAAGTTAGGACTGAACTTCCTGCTGTAGCTGCAGAAGTGAAAGTGTTTGCTGCAGGTCTGATGATGTTCACTCAAACTCCACAAAATGAAACATTTTCAATAGTTTGTTGGTCATTTTCTTTTAGGGAACTGAATTGAACCCTGACCTCAATACATAAACTCTCTGTCAATAACGTGCAGGATACTACCGCTCTGTTCATTCTCCATCAACGCATCAACCTCATGTGCATAACAGCAGTATTTCATCTCACTGGCTCGGAACTCAGCTATGCCTACGAAAGAGAATGCGCCATAATTCCGAGATATCCCACAAAATCACTTCATATGTTATCTACGTAATCATGAACGAGGAAGTATAAAGACCACAAAAGCCCACACAGGGTGAAAGGTGGATGGGTCCAACAAACAGTGACCTTTGACCCAGCAAACCGCTGTTTGTTCCGCCTCTGAAACAAGAAGTAAGCGTCTTATAAGTTACGTAACCTGCGTTCTTTACTGTACTTTGAGTACCTAACGAAGTATTTCACCACCTTTTCCTTAAAAGTCGTTCATGATCTTTTCCTAAACTAAGTAGTTTCTGTATTACTGTATTCATGTAATGAGCAGAATTTGTACCATCGTATGAGGATACGTTGATCACAGTACATTAATATCTCAGTGTCTCAAACCAAGGAGTAAATAAAAGATGACTGAATCAGGTAGCGTCAGCACAATCTGTCCAATAATAACGATACATCACCTGAGCTTTTTCTCATGATTAAGACCCTGTTCCATTACAAGAACTGTGTTGCCCATTTGAACTCACTACATGACAAATGACTGAAGTGTGACTGACCTTCTGGTCCTGAGCTGGTGTTTGGCAGACTCTGCAGCAGATCATTCCTGGGTATCTCCTGTAAAACCTTTCTGGTGATGTCTAGAGCTCCATGAAGTTCAAAGGTCTTCACCATCAGATCCACAGTGTCCTGCCTATTTGCCTTCTCCAGCTTTGACTCTTTGATAGCTTGGTAAGGTTTCATGGAGTCACGATCCTTCAGATACCAGATGAATTCCTTAAATTCATCTTCTTTTAAATCCTTCAGAGTCTTCAAAAGGTCCACTGCCGTCATCGTGGCTCCCTGCTAGAATCTGTCTGTTTCGTCACCTGAAGGAAAAACTGTGTTGGAGCCACAGAAACAATGGATAGTTAAGTAGGAGTCTTTGTTTTTGTGGATACAGGAAGTTAAACACATCCATGTGATCGCTCACAACTAGTGATGTACTTTATACAGTGATGGGAGGAGAATGGGTCAAACACACACAGGACTTTCAAACAGGGGACTGGTGTTCAAGACCGGTGTTCTTGAGTAGATGGTAAATGGACTGTACTCGTATAGTCTGTTCTAGTCCTCCAACCACTCAAAGTGCTTTAACACTACATGTCATCATTCACCCATTCACATCCATTCATACACTGAGGACAGGTGCCATTAGGACTATCCAACATTCATACACCGTGGGCACAGCTACAGGAGCTATTTGGGGTTAAGTGTCCAAGGACACATCAACATGGACTATCGGAGCCGGGTATCGAACCACCGATCCTTTGATCGAAGGTCATCCCTGCTCTACCACTGAGCCACAGTCACCCCTAATTAGTGACCTGTTAACTTATTTAACTTCAGGTACTTTTTTTAAACCCAACCATGATGTTTTTCTAAAACTGTCAAAGTGGTTTTGCTGCATAAATCTAACGTTGTGTTCCAACACTTCTCCGCTGTGGCCACCTAGGCTCTAAAGAAGTAGGTGGGCTGTGGACACTAAAGCCTTTCTACTCGCTCTTGGCACCGGAGCGTGAGCCTCCACAGATGGTGCGTGAGCTCCGAGAACACATGAAGTCATTTATGCTCAACGTGATGTTTGTTTCATTATTCTCTGAAACACCAGAGGATGAACAAACAAAATTAACTGTGAAGAATCAAAAGGACAACGAGTGAAACCAACAAAACTCCATAAACCAACGTCCATAATGAAGAGGAGGGATTGTAATGAACTATAAACTCATAATCATGGACTATTTCATCACCTTTATACAAACCCTGTGAAGAAATAAGTATTAAATGTATAATAAAGAAACAAAGGTTGAATATCCTGTAAACTATTTGATTTAGCTGATAAATATATTTACTATAATGTAGATTTTTAACACTTCCTGTTTCTAAAGCTTCTAAAAATGAATTGACCTTCTTTGTAAAATCCTCAGACATGGAAATAGTGTTTTAATCAGTGAACTATTTGTGACAGTCACGTGACTGAGCGGCGAGTTACGAGTTACAAGTTACAAAAATTCAGAGTTGCACGACCAAGTCCCGTGACCACTTAGAGACCCTTCACGCATGACGCCAGGCCGTAATTACGTCACTTTCTGGTGCCAGCTTCACTACAGCGAGTGTGAATTAAGCTTAACTTCTGGGCGTGTGTTCATTGGGCTCCACCCACTCTACCCATAGAGTCCAATAGAGGGCGGAGCCTGTGTGAGTCAGACTGAAGGTTACAATATTGTAACCCTAGTTCTATAAGCACAGGCTGAGCCTTCTACCAGAGGGGTCCTGTCACTCCTAAGCCCACTGTGAGGTCTGCATGTTTTCCACTCTGCACTTCCTGATTGGCCAGCTATGCTTATGCTACTTTTATAGTGGGCATATGCAGCTCGTTATTGGAGTAGATTATTACCCATTAGATCATATTTATTCAGTCTGTAGTTATTGAGGAAGTGTGTCCATGAAGTTTGTTACACACACACCTGCAAATAAAAAACAGCTTTTTGTCTTCACACCAACCTGACAAATAAAACAGTGAATACAACATAAGCCCCGCCTCCTAAAGTCTCTGACATCAAAACATGAATTTTTCTAAATTTTTGTCCAAGTAAAGACAACAAACAGCTGTTCTTGTTTGTAGTTTTGATCAGTCAGAATAAACAGTAGACTGACGTGCACATTGTCACGATTGGGCTTTGCCTCCTGTGTTTCTGTGTCTGCGAGTGGCTCCGCCCTGGTCTCCTCCCGGCTTCCTCCTGATTGTACTCATTCAACTCACCTGCCCAGTCCACCCAGCTGCCTTCAATCTACTCATCACCCAGCAGTATATGTAGCCCGGTTCCTCATCCACTCGCTGCCAGATCATTGTTGTTTCAACCTGCTCGATATCCAGTTCGTTCTCGGCTGCTTAGTGTTTTTGCATGCTGAGTTCTGTTACCGTTATTCTCACCTTGTTTCCCTCTGCCTGCAGTTTGGTCCATCCTCCCGGCTCCCCAGTCTGCCTGCCCTGCCTCGCCCGGTTCTCACTGTAGGAAATATAGGTTTAGAAGTGTGCTTTAAGAAATTATAATAGAAGTGTTTAATGATTCATAATTAAGAGATCATAATTGGAAGTGTTTAAGAATTCATAATTAGTCATAATTATAGGAGTGTTTTAGAATTTATAGTTAGAAGTGTTTCTTAGTAGAATTAGTAGCACCTCTTACAGGTGGAGAATAATATGATAGCAAGTACTTGGAGTTTACCATCTATGCTTGTAAAACGTGACGTTTTTGCCAAAAGTTGCAAATCCTTATCTTTAATATAGTATGTTTAAGAGTAAGGCGTAGGGATAGATAGAGATTTATAGACAGGCAATTACAGGTCACACCCGTGCGAGGGTCTTCAGCAGTCTGACGCCAGGAGGAGACTACTGGAGTTAGCCAATAGGAAATAAGATAGACAATATGGGAGGGGTTTTCAAACTGAAGAGGGAGAGAAAGATTCTGTCTCTTGCTCCTGTTCCACCTTGTGGGTGGTAACGCTATCGGGGTGAGGCGCGGGTCATATTTTATGTAACTGTGAATAATGTACTTCACTTTGCAATTGTTTTAGCTTCGGTATAATTAAATGCTTTTGATTATAATTGAAACCGGCTGTCTTTGTGTAAGAGGCTGGATCACATGCGGTTTCCCCACAGTTTAAGAGGCCCTGAATCTAACATCACCCTCACGTTCTTGGATTCCCTGTTTAGTTTTCCTTTGTTCACGTTTATTAAAACCTGTTTTCACTCTGCAATCTGGTCATGTCTGCATTTGGGTCCACCACACCACCCCGCGACAGAATGATCTGGCCCAAAATGGACTCAGCAGACCACCGTTTGGTTTGCATTGCCCCACAACTTTATGACCAGTTTGCGGGAACCCGCCAGGCCTTGGGAGGGCCTCGGAGTGTCCAGAAGGCTAACCTTGAGTTGATGGACCGCCTTTTCAACCCTAGAAGGAGACAGAGGAAGAAGAGAGGTCAGTTACCCACTCCCGCTGGGCCGCAGCTTTCCCCCGTTCCCGTCTCCGCCAAGCCGCAGCGAGCTTCAGTTCCTGCCGCCTCCGAGAGTCCGAGTCCTGTTCCCCGTCTGATCCCAGGTCTCTAGAGACGAGGCACAGCAAGGCAAGTTTATTTGTATCACACATTTCAACAAGGTAATTCAAAGTGCATCACATAAAACCATTACAAGCATCAAAACATAAGGCAAAAGAAAAGGAGATTTAAAAATAGTCATTAATACATTAGAAAGCAGTGTAAGAAATAAAATACAGTAGTAAAATGCAGAAATGGATTAATATCCTTGAATGTGGTTGAATTGAAGGCAGCAAACAGAAAAGTCTTCAGTCTTGATGTAAAGGAGCTGAGGGTCTCAGCAGACCTGCAGCTTTCTGGGACTTTGTTCCAGATATGTGGAGCAGAAACACTGAACGCTGCTTCTCCATGTTTAGTTCTGACTCTGGGAACAGAAAGTAGACCGGTCCCAGACGACCTAAGGGGTCGGGATGGTTCATAAGGTAGCAGCAGATCAGAGATGTGTTTTGGCCCTAAAGCATTCAGTGCTTTATAAACCAACAGCAGGATTTTAAAGTAAATTCTTTGCTGGACAGGAAGCCAGTGCAAAGACCTCAGAACTGGAGTGATGTGATCCACCCTCCTGGTCTTAGTGAGGACTTAAGCTGCAGCGTTTTGCTGAAGATAAATGCATGGACAAGTTTTTACACATCCTGTTGAGACATAAGTCCTCTAATCCTTGATATATTATTCAGGTGATAGGAGGCTGATCTTGTAATTGTCTTGATGAGGCTGTTCAGGTTGAGGTCTGAATCCATAACTACACCTAGATTTCTGGCCTGTTTGTGGTTTTTAACATCAGTGATTGAAGCTGAGCGCTGACTTTCAATCGTTCGTCCTTGGTACCAAAAACAATTACTTCTGTTTTATCACAAGGAAAGATACAGGAGAACATTCCTGCCCTCTGCAATATCACTTTATAATAAATCACCTCTGGCCAGATCATCCTCCACATAACTACACACTGCTACACTGTTTGCTGGTGGTTGATTTTTGCACTACTGTTTTTCACCTAGTTAGTTAATTTAACACTATTCTATTTCATTGTATATATTGTGCATTTTTTAATACTTAATATTTTTGGTTACTCTGTTACTTTGCTTACTTGGTATGTCTTGCTGCTGTAACATACAAATTTCCCCCTATCTTTGTTTAATTGAAGAATATTCTGGTCCATCCAGTTGATTTGTTCAGTGCAGTGACCCAGCCCTTGTATGGGATTATAGTCCCCTGGTGACATAGTTATGTAGATTTGTGTGTCGTCTGCATAATTATGATAACACACTTTGTGTGGCCCCACACAAAGAGGCCCCAGTATTGAACCTTGGGGAACACCACGTCATTTTAGTCAGCTCTGATGTGTAATTAGCTACAAACACAAAGCATTCTCAGTCCTTCAAGTAGGATTCACACCAGTTAAGTGCTGTGCAGAGAGTCCCACCCAGATCTTTAGTCTTTCTAGTAGTATGTCATGGTCGACCGTGTCGAATGCCTTATTCCCCGTCTGATCCCCGTCCTCTAGAGCCCTGTTCCCCGTCTGATCTCCGACCTCTAGAGTTCCGTCTCTCTAACCCCCGGTCTGGGCCCCAGTGTCCCCAGTCCGGTTCCCTTGAGCCTGTGTCCCCAATCCGGTTCCCCTGAGCAACTCCGGCGGTCCGGCCGCCCTCCTGAGCACCTTTGTCCAGAGCAACTCTGGCAGTAAGTCCGTCCGCCTGCCTGCCTGTCTGTTCCACGGAGCCCTGTTGCCAGCTGGATCCAGAAGTCCCTCCTCCGGACCCCCTCCACCCACCCTTTTTGTCTTGCTTCACCTTGGACATCTGCCCCTTGAGCGGGGGCATTTGCTCCTGATTGCAGTCATTCAACTCACCTGCCCAGTCCTCCTAGCTGCCTTCAATCTACTCATCACCCAGCAGTATATCTAGCCCGGTTCCTCATCCACTCGCTGCTAGATAGATCATTGTCGTTTCAACCTGCTCGGTATCCAGGTCCACCACACCACTCCGTGACACACGTACTGTATTTCAGCAGTGAGGCAGCGCAGATTAAAATCAAACTTGTTTCCTGGTGATGATAAAATCTGACTCAACTGAACATGAAAAGACTCAAAGGCTGAAAAGACTTTGGCCATAAAGTTACATATGACAGAATATGAGTGAATTAATTCAGATACAAAGAGTAAATATCAGTGCTGAAAGAACTGATCACTGCTCTCATCTACAAGTTTATTGTGTAACAAATGTCAGCAGAGCTCCTTCATCAGAGTCTAAAGATACCCGTTACAGTCACTCACCTGTTAAAGTCACATCCAGATGAGGTCAAAGAGACTTTCTACCTTCGTCTGCAGACACCGACAGACGCAGCTATCGCGTCCTCACACCTTCAAATCAGGACTTGTGAGTAAGACGTGAGAGCAGAAACCCGTTCTGTGTTGTAGTGCTGCCAGTAAACAGAAGGTCTGTCAGTCAGAGTTCTGATTGGAGAGAATTCACAGCAGCCTGAAACACTGACATCCACACTACTCCTGTGTGGACGGAGATCGTTTCTATTTGAAAAATCTGTTTTCAAATAGAAACGATCTCCGTCCACACCGCGTTTCAGCATCGTTTTCAAATTGATCTTAATCCACACGCAACCTTCGAAAACGGACATCATGTGACCATTAACGTACACTGGGCATGCGCGTGACGGTGTAAACAGGAAGTGGATTGGTTGCTTAGTTAAACAAAATACGACAGTAATAGTCTTTAATAATGAAAGGTTGTGTTTGATACTTAAGATCTTCCTCTAAAATATTATAGTTATAGTATAAATTTGTATATAATTGTGATAATTCCAAGGAGACGTCATGGCTGCTAAGAACCAATCAAGTAGCGAACACGAGTGTGGGCGTCATCTTTTCTAAACTTATCCGTTTCCGACCGTCCACACGAAAATGCAACCCCGGAGTTTTCAAACTCCTCCAACCTCGGGAGTGTTTTCAAACTTTTCGGTGCTCTGAAACTCCGGCGTAGTGTGGACGCTCAGTGTAAGCGTAGCAAAACATGTGCGTCTCCAAACGTAAACGGAGTAGTGTGGACATGGCAGGCAGCTTCGGCCTAAAGACGAGGCCAACAGAAGTGGGGACAGGATTCTGTACAACCAGGGGTACTTCTCAAGTCTCTTAATTGTCGTTTCCTCGCTCCTCGATCCTCGCTTGAACCGGAAGTTGTTTCTGCGCCGCCATATTGACGGCCGTCCAAAAGCTCTAATGTAGCTCTGAGGAGCGAGGATGGAGGAGGGACCTCTGAGGAGCCATAAGCGAGGAACCACGAGAACAGACTTCCAGGAAGTGTTTTAACGGCCGACACGCCCCCTCGTTCATCAGTCATGTGATTGGACGCTACAGCCGATCGGACTGATTTTTTTTTTTCAACATATAAACAGTGAAGACAGATCACAGAATAAACTCTAGCTTTATATTTGATTTGTTTTCTGATTCAACATCTGGCTTAAATAAATGTTCATTGTAGACTGAACAACAAAAGGACCACAAACAACTTTCATTTATTAGAAAGATTTGTGTTTTCATGATCTGATGTTTCCCTCAATAACTTTTATTATGAATACAATTAAAGTCAGAGAGAGCTGGAGAGAAGAAACACTTTATACATCATTCCTGAGTGTTTGAGTTTTATCATTTAAGAGAAACAATAATCATATTCTGGGTTATTTAATAATGACGCCACAGTCACAATTTCAAAACGTACAGAGACAAATAATTCATAAATAAGACGATCGCATTCCGCTGGTAGAAATGGATCCTGTGCTAACACAGGACACAGTTACAGAGAGAAACACCTCTACAGTGGTCTATTGAAAAGCTGGACAGGACATTAATATATAATTCAAAACCCTCAGGAGAGCAGTTTCAGTAGTGTTGCTTATGTGGCGAGAGGTAGACGGGATGTCGTTTACAGTTACGAGGACAGCCAATACTTAGAGCACAACAACGCCACCTTAGGAATTGCACCCAAGGATTCACTTTTTCCCCACACAGCATCAGGTTTACTAGGACACTCAGGTTCATTTTACAAATTAGCAGGAGACGTGGTTCCAATACAAAAAATAATATTTATTCTATTACAAATTCACAAAATACTAAAAGAGCCATTATACATTTATTTAAAAGAGGACTGCAGCTTACCAGTGGCGAGGTGGGCCAGTGCAGGTGAGGATCCCAAAAGAGGAGGCACCCCGATCACACGTGTACACAACACTCACACAACCACATGTGAGGGTTCTTAACCAGGGGCACACCAAACGACACAGCACAGGAAGGGAGACACCAACCCCACCACCTTGGCTTAGCAGCTCCTACAGGGACAAAGGACACAATTACAAAAAGGCTCTGGTTCTCAGGAAAGAAAAACAAACTAAAGGAAAAAATAAGAAAAAAGACGAAACACCAAAATAGCTCGGGTTGACGGATCAGCCAGGGGGGGGGGTGATCAGTAACCCAATTAATAGAAACTTAAAGCCAGAGTGGGCCTTAACATCCCTGGGCAGAATACACGAAATGGCTCAGGCTAAAAAAGGTTGCTCTCATTAAAACAAGGGTGCTGCTGACAGCAAACAGCACAAGACAGGGGCGCAGTGCTGACAATAGCAGCGTCAGACCCTGTAGGTGACACAGCGCAGGTCCGGGTAGACGAACCCAGTAGGCCAAAAGCCGTTAGTTGAACACCGCCGTAGCAAAACACCGGTAAACAAAACAGCAGCGTCCCTGAACGTAAGCAGAGTTAGCTGTAGCCGCTTTCTGGCGGCGTTCCGCTCGAACCCAACCAAAAGTCCCCTGTGATACGGGATGACATAGAATTAATGGAATAATAAACGCCAAAGTATATAAACCAACAGAATAAAATCACCTTACCGATCAGGCAATATGCGTCGGCTCCAGAAGCGGGGAGGAGGGCATGTAGCGTAGCTACCGGCAGCTAGACGCGGTCACTAACATAACACCAGAGTATAATCAACAGGACCTAATTGAGACTCACCGACAGATCCGCAGGTGAGTCACCTGTACAGGACGAGGGGAGCCCCAGAGACGGCCTAACAAATGACAGAAAGCCAATAAACACCAGAACAGCACCACCGGGAGAAACAATAGGCTCGTTCGAGTTGAACTGCGCCTCGCCTGGAAAGCAGACGAGAGCAGGCCGACGTAGAAAGGGGCGTTGACAAAAAACTGCGTTCAAATCGGACCGTTTTCAGCCAGCCGCCTGCTTCTTCTTCTTCTTCTTGCTTTTTTTGGCGGTTGGCAAACAGCTTTCGGGTGCATTACCGCCTCCCACTAATCTGTGTGGACTAAGGACTCTAATACCACAACCAACCGAAAATAAATACATATACAGTACATATATACACACACATACATACATATGTGTGTAAATAAATATAGATATATATATAGATAGATATAGATATAGATAGATA